GGGGCGGAGTCTTCAGGGGCGGAGCTTCCAGCCCCGGTGGGAGGGACTCGGCTCCGGGGCTGGGCGGGGCTTGGCGCTAGGCTGGCGGAGTCGGGGCGGGGCTTGGTGCCTGGAGGGTGCCGTCCCCACCTCCGCGTCTCTGGCCGTGCGCTCTGCGGCGGGATCCCGGCCCCAACTCCAGCAGGGGTCTCTTCGGGCCTCTCCCCTGCTCCGCCCATGGTCCCCTAGTCCAGGGTTCCCTCAACAGTGGCGCGCACAGCCCCCGCGCTCCACGCGAGGGCCGCTTCTACATCCCACCCACTTACTCCTCCCTGCGGCCTGTTGGCCCTCGTCGTCCCCCAGGTGTGTCTCCCGTGGCTTTAGATGCAAAGCGACGCTTCCTAACCGGGACCAGCCCAGATGCGGAGTAAAACCTGGCAGTCTGGGGGTTATGAGCCAGCGCTCCTGAGCCTTCATGTTGTCCTATCCCTGAGGACACAGTGGACGATGGGCAAGGCCTCTGACCTCCTGGAGCTTGAGAGATCCAGTGGGAGAGACAATCAACATGACACCTTCCGGTAGGGCCAAGCTCTAGGCAGAAGCTGTAGCAGAACCAGAGCCCTGTGGTTGGGAACAGCTGCCTGTTTGAGCTCTGACCTAGGGAAGAGAAAGGGGGATCCCAGGAAGGGCCCTGCTGGACAGGTCTGCTCAAGACTTTGCAAAAGGGCTGGAGTGAGGCATGGTGGCCTTGGGGAGAGCTGTTGGTGGTTTTGTAGGCCGTCAACCTATCTCCAGTGTGCCCTGAGCTAAGCCTGCCTCATCTCCCAGGTTTCCTGGTTTGCTCCCCTCCAGGCCCTCATAGGCTCTGCTGCAGGGCCTTTGCACATGCTGGCATCTGGTCTTGGATGTACTCACCTTTTTCAGGTCTTTCCCCAAATGCACCCTTCTCAGTGAGCCTGAGAAGAACATTTCAACACCTGTCCAACTCTATCCCCTTTCCTGCTCCATTTTCAGTTTCCCTTGCTTGTGACTACATAGAATACATTCTAGCTTACTCATCATGGTAGCATTCTCTAGGATGGCCCAGACCCTCAGGTGACCCCCCTCCCCTCAAGCTGCACCTAGTGATTTGCTTCTAGTCACTAGAATATGGCAGAAGCAATGGCTGTCACTTTGTGCTCCCTCCTAACCTGCTCACCACAACAAGGTGGCCCAGGGAGACCTCAGATGGCAGAGCCCGCAGCCTGCCTCCACCTGCATGGGAGCCCGGGGGCACCCCTCATCAGCTTCCCTAAGGCTCGCTGCACCCACTTCTGCGAGAGGGGGTGCCTGCAGGGTGACGCAGCAGAGGAGGAAGGGCTGTCCCCCAGAGCCTCAGCAGCGCAGCCAGACCACAGCTGATTTCAGCCCAGGGAGACGAATTTGGCAGCTCTAGCCTCAAAAGCTGAGATAATAAAGGCACGTTGGCTGTCCCCAGTCCTAGAGATGGAGCACAGGGTGCTCTCGCACAGAGCTACAGGGCCAGTCCTTCTTATTTTTTAATTCTGATACAGGGTCTTGCCAGGTCACTCAGGCTGGACTTGAACTTGTGACCCTCCTGCCTCAGCGCCCAAGTAGCATGAGGTGTGCACCACACGCAGCTATAAATGCACGTTTGAAGCCACAAGTTTGTGACAATGTGTCACAGTAGCCATAGGAGATTAATGCAAGGAATAAAAATTAGTTCTAAAACATAAGGAAAGCATAAAGCCCACATTGGAGTGATTTCAAGAGTGTCTGGGAGCATGGCTTGGCAGCCCGTCTGGGTAGCTTGACCCTTTCCTGGGTAAGCACTTCCGTTTCAGTGGGTATGGGTGCCTGTTACTAGGTAGGAAATGAGGCAGGTGGGCCTCAGGAGCAGAGAAGGGGAGGGTCTTGGGAGGCTCCTCACCACCTGGGCTTGAAGTCAACCTGTGAGGGGGGATAGGGAAGACAAAGGGCCCAAGGCAGTGAAGAGAAGCAAGAAGTACAGCGAAAGGGCATCAGGGAGGCAGGAGACAGCTGGGCTTGAGGTTTCAGAAATCATAGGAAAGTCAGAGAACAATGATGTTGAGCCAGACTTCAGAAGAGGGAAGGAGTGAGCTAAATGGATGTCTAGGGAGGACAAACCCAGTCAGTGTGCAGCCTGTGCAAAGGCCCTGGGGCAGGCTCAAGGCTGGCATATTCAAGGGATAAGGCCAGTGGCACCAGAGGGAGGCCTATCAAGGCAGACCTTGTGCTGGCCAGTGTAAGAATTTGACTTTACTCAGTGAGGTGAGACCCACTGGGTGCAGTCCTGAGCAGAGAGGACAAGATCTGACTTGTCCTGTAAATGAGTTGCTGGGTGCTCTGGTGAAGAACTTGCTGACAGCTGCCCTGCGTGGCCAGAGCCAGGTGGTGCAGGATATGACAAGTGTTAGGTGGAATTGCAGGGTTGGGGGATGACCACCTCTGAACCCCTAGTGTCCCCCAGGGGCTGCCTCAACCCAGAAGGAAGGGAAGGGTGTCCCTGAGGCGTGGTAAGGCTGCCTGCACCTCCTCCCCCCAGGCCTCCCGAGGTGATGGCAGGGGTTGGGGGCTAGACCCAAGAGACGAGCCTGTGAGGGGGTCCGTGGGGAAGCGGGCCTCCTGCCTCTCTGCCTTAAGCCCCCACTGTGCCCTGCACTTCCATCCCTTCTCCTGGTCCTGGTCAAAGCTGGGACAGCGGACAGGTTGAGTAACTGGGTGATAGTTGGAGTGTGGTGGGTGACTGCGCCGTGCCAGGGCACAGCAAGCACACGTGTGGCTGGCTCTGACCTTTCCCACACACAAGCACCACCTGGGCAGTCCCCTCACGGCCCAGGTGGGGGCCAGCAGGTACGGGCGTGTCAGAGGGGCTGTCTGGGGTCCATGGATGGGGAGACTCCTTCTCTGTGACCTCGCAGCCCAGAGAGTCCCAGTCAAGAAGACGTCTAACGAGAAGGGAGCACGCACGTGTGTGTCTGCGGTGCTGGCCGCGGAGCCCAGGGGGGGCTGGGCAGTGCTCCACCTCCGACTGTGCTTTCCAACAGGAATCTGCCAACCAGGTGAAAAGCAGAAATCATAGCGGGAGGTGCCCCCGGAGGACGTCCCTCAACTGTGGAGCACTGTGTCTGCCCCGCGTCCTCAGAGAGGCTCGTCTAGGGTGAGGCGGTTTTGGCCCAGACACAAGGATCCAGTGTGGCACAGACATAGCTTAGGGCGAGTTCATCACAGGGTGAAAGGGGAGAGCCTAGAGGGGCGGGCAGGCTGGCCAGGGAGCACACTCTGGCCTCGTGTTGGGTGCGAGTGGAGACTGGGCTCCCGCAGCACGCTGGCTGCACCTCCTTGAGCCCAGGGTCCTGCACAGTGGTCATTGCCCACACCTGCCCTGTGCTAAAAGAGGGCAGGCACCTGTGTGCGGGCCTCATGTTCCCCTTCCTGGCCTGGCATCACTGGGGGGAAGTCATGTAACTGTCAGCTGACCCTTGGATCAGCTTGTGGGCGCCTGTGCCACTGTGGGGACATGATGTATGTCTCTAAGCCTATGGAAGACAGTGTCGGGCCTCTGTCTAGAATGTGGAAGACTGGCACCTCTGGGAGGGGCAACAGCGGGAATGGGGGTGAGCTGGAGGATGGGGAGGGGGGAAAACGGCTCAGAGCGCCTCAGCCTCAGTTGGAGAGGACCCTGCCGGCCCCACCAGTGTGCAGTGGTTCTGGCAGCTGAGCGAGGGCTATACCTCGGGTCTGGGTGCATGGGTCCTGCAGGGAGCCCAGACAGCCTTAATGCCTTTGCAGAGCTGAGCCTGGTCAGGAGGAGACCCGAGGAGTCTCCAAAGAGGGGTGGACTCAGGATGAGCAGGGTCCTCTCAGCACAGGTGGGAGACACGGGGGTCTACCTAGGAAGCAGAAGCACCTTCAAGGGAGAACACCGGCCATCAGTCCCATGGGCTCTGGCCCCCAACCCCTGCCACCAGGAGAATATCTGGGGAGCAAGAGAGGCCTTGGGGTTCTGGGCTCCTCTTTTTAAGGTGAGGAGTGTTGAACCACGATGCAGAGACCACCAACTCCAATTTTAAACGGAATTACAGCAAGCTTGCATTGTGCACACAGAGAGCTGGCCAGCGACTTCCCCACCCTGACCTGGGCCGAGATCAGCGCCCCCTCAGGAAGGAAAGGTTTATATAGCACAGAAAGCCACAAAAGGGGGTGTCTTGGGAACCTACCGCTAACGGGGTTCTGGCAAACGTAATGCAAGGGCAGATGGCAGATTAATGATCTGCACGGCTGGATATTTCAAGGTAGGGAGTAAACTCAGATCCCAACATCAGACTTCACGAGGAGCCGCTGAGGTTTCAGAGAGGTTGTTATCTGGGGGGGGGAGCCAGGCAGGGGTGAGTTCAGAGCACGGCAGGAATTCCACACAAGTTTAGGAATCTCAGGAATTTACAGTAAAGCAGAAATGAGCTTTTCAGGACTTTGTGACAAGATGGCTCCCAGTCTTAAAATGGGATTAGGCTGGGGAGGAGTAGGTGGGGAAGGCAGGCGGGACGCCCTCTGCACAGCAGTCACAGGGTCCTCCTGCTGGTGTGCTGGTTCTCACAGGTCTCCTTGAGCACCCTGTCTCCCTCTGCTTAACCTCTGCCCCGGGTGGGTTGGTGCTCAGGGTGACCTTAACTAGGGACTTTACAGCACTGTTGAGATCTACAGATCTCGCAGGACTTTCAGAGTGTGGCCTGGAAGAGAGGACTGGCTCAGGAGGAAAGGCCCAGGGCCTTCAGCACAGGTTCTCAGACCACAGCTGGATGTCCCCTGTCCTTTCTTTGTCTCCTGTGTATCTCCCTTTTGATTTCTTCTCTCTACCTTAGCCTGTCCCCTGCCTGTTGCCTCCCCCAGCCAGCAAAGCTGGCTCCCGTGGGTGGAGAGGTCCCCCTGCAGTGCTCAGCTTTGAAGGGTCTAGGGCCCCCCCATGCTCTGCCTCCCCTACAGTGAATGCACATCGCAGCTGGCTTTCACACACCATTTATTGTGCTTGGGGGGCTGTGGAGACAAACGGGGCAAGAGCCCTGCGGGAACTCCGGGGCCGGATCCCTCACTGCAAAAAAAGGAGCAGCTGTGGGCCTGGTGTCTTAGGCCCTCTGGGCCCTCCTGGGCCCCGTGCTCCCCACCCAACGCTGTTTGTGTGAGTCGGGGGACTTGACTCGGGATACCACCCCGGGGGAGGGTCCTGCAGTGAAGCCTGCCCCGCCGGGCACGGCTCAGCAGCTCCGGGGCTCCGAGGGTTCTGGGCACTCACCTGGGAGAGCGCCCCGGCACACTGGTCTGCGGGAGAGAGGGCTCCGTCACCACCTCCACCTCGAGCCCCTTTCCCTAGGGCCCCGGCCCTCCCAGTCCACCATGTCCTGGCACACTCCCGCCTCTTCCTTGGCCCAGAGGGTCCAAAGCTGTCCCTGGACATCCCACATCAGGGATGGGTGGAGAGACCCGCAGGACATGTCCCTGACAGTCCCGGCTTCTGCAGCCCTAAGCTGGGATGGGCCAGCGCTCACCTGACTTGGGTAGCATGGCGCCCTGGCTGGGGTTCAGGCCCACGCGGGGTGCCAGGAGCTGCATCTTCTGGGCACCTTCAGGAAACAGCTCCGGGACGCGGACTGGGGGCAGGGAAGACGGGTGAGCAAAGGGGCTGGGCCAGAGCCCTTCCCCGCAGGTCTCGGGGGTCGGAGGAGCCCCTGGGAAACAGGGGTTCCGCCCGCCGCAAGTGGGAGTGTGGTGGAACGTGCACGTGGGCAACTCTGCAGACCAGATGCGGGGCACCGCTCCAAGGGCCAGGCCTGTGACCAGGGGAGGTGTCGGCTGCCCACCGTAGAGCTGCAGCCAGACGTTCCGCACGTCCCCCTTCTGAGTCTCGAAGTACACCACGGCGAAGTTCTTGTAGTCCGTGAAAGGCACGCGGATGTCAGTCTGGGCCATAGCTGAGAGCAGGGGAGAGCTAGTGACTAGGAGCAACACCTAGCTCTGGTGGGAAGCACCGCCCTCAGAAGCCCCGCCCCCGCATGCCAATCAAACAGAATGCACAGGCCCCCAGGCCCCCACCCTCCGTGCCTGCGGCCCACCTGTGGGGGCCACCGCCGCCTCACCTGGGTTGCTGAACTGCCCATCCACTGCACCCTTGCTGAAGGTCGTGTCTATCTTCTGGCACCCACCGTCCGGCCTGGGGAGGAGCTGTCCATGCCTGAGCCTCGGCCCTGCCGGTGCCCAGGCCCAGGTCCTGCCTTGCCCTCTCTGACGGTCCCAGACCTGCAGGTGTCCTGAGGACGCTGCCCTGGCAGAGCCTAGCAGGGTCCCCTGTTCACCCTCACAACAGCCCTTTCAGGACACAGGTGCTTTATGTCTTACAGGGGAGGACAGTCCTCTGGGGTGGAGGGAGGACAGTCCTCTGGGGTGGAGGCAGCAGTGTGGGGCTCAGGGCCTTCAGGTCTCCCCTGTCGGTCGGCACACACACACACACACACAAGACACACAGGCACACACAGAGAGGACACACATGTACACACAGGCACACAGACAAGCAGTCACTCTGGTATCAACACCCAGGCCTCGGGAGGGTTCGCAGGTGCCTGACTCCCTCTAGGGAGCAGGTGTGCTGGGGCTCCTATTTGGGTCTTGGCAGCTCAGGCCATCAGGAACCTGTGGTCGGGCCCCCTGGAGTATCAGGGATGCCTCTGGTTCCTGCTGGCCTTCACGTGGCCTTACAATGGCCTTTGTCTCAGGTAAATCACCTGAATTGCAAGTGAGGCCAGTGGGGTCACTTACGTGGGGTACCCAAACTTGACATCCAGGTCGCCATTGGCCAAGAGGGTCACTAAAACCATGGGCATCTTCATGTCATCCTTGGAATCCTGGAAGCTCTGGTCATCTGACACAGCCCCGACTATGTACCAGATGCCCTGGAACTGTAGGGCAGAGCAGGAGGGCTGGGAAGTGGCCCCTGTTCTCTGAGTCCAAGCCTACCATGTCCCTCCCTGCTACTCAGTGGTCATGACCTCTGCACATAGGTCAACCCCAGTACTGGGGGACAAGGCCCTGGTCAGTGGCGGTGAGCACAATCCAAACGCTGAGCCAGAGGTCTGCTGTCCTCCCCAGTCTACCCCACTTTCTGGTCTGATGAGCCAGGCATCAGAGAGGGTCTTTCTTTAGGCCCCCAGCCCTGCTGAGCCTGGGTCAGAGAGGATGTGGCATGCAGAAGCAAGTTGGGTAGGGCCATCCATGCAGAGGGAAGAGGAGGCCTGTGGGCACACCTTAACAGCATCGAAGTTGTCCTGGATGGGGACCTGGGCCCAGCCTAGGGACATCCTGAGCAGGACAAGGAGGGAGCTGATCAGCAGAGTCTGCAGCATCGTGTCAGATCCTCTGGGGCTATACAGCAGGACAGGAGAGCTGGGGTGGCTTCTGCCAGAGGGACTTTTATGCCCCCCAGATGCCCTGGGGCAGCTGGCTGGCTGGCCTCTGAGGAAGCCCACTGCGATAAGCGCCCTATCCAGTTGCACCCTGTAGCACCTAGCCCAGCTGCTTCCACTCAACCCCGCCCTCCCAGCCCCGTGTTTCCTGTGGGAAGGGCTGGGTGTGTGGCAGCTGGGGACAGGTAGTCCTGGCAGCCACTGGGCCAAGGGGCTGCCTGACAGACATGCGCTCTGCTTCTCTGCCTTCTAGCCCTCTGGATGTTGGCCCTAGCCTTCTGCTCAGGCACAGCCCAGGTCCCCTCCTGCTCCAGGAGGGCCACCCAGAGGCCTACTTCATGACTGAGCCTCAGGAGGGTCTGTCTGCCTACCAGGGAGCTGGCACATTGTAAACCAGGAGGGCCAGGGACAGGATCCTGGGAAGGACCAGCCTGGTGGGTACCTGAGGGAGAGGGAGGGGTAGGCAGGGGGCTGGCCCCACAGTGTGGCTTTGGTGCCAGGACTCTGGTGAGGGGCAGGGCTGCATGCTCTGGAAGCCCAGGCCAGGGGTGGTGGAACTGTGAGCAGAGGTGTGGGGTGGCCTATCCCCAGCTCACTCTGTCAGCCTTTCCCAGCAAGGGCCATAGATTCTCTAGCACCTTCCAAACAAATGTTCCTTTCTGTGCCTTCCCAAACCTTGCTTAATCTGAGTGCACTAATCCCAAACCTTGAAAAACCCATCTGATCCAAAGCTCCCTGGCCTTTCCTGTTTAGGGGTGATTGGGCGGGGTGGGGGTGGACACCTGTCTAAGGGATTAGCTACTAAATGACTGACCCCCACCAGCTCATAAATTGGCAGCTCAAGGGGATAGATGGAGGAAGTGGGGCTGTGGCGAGGTCACAGCCATGTGCAGGGTAGGATGCAGCTCCGAGCACTCCTCCTTAGCTGTCCTGACTCAGGAGCAAACACCAGCTTTGGGGACTTTGTACTGATATTTTGTAGGAAGGGACTGGTGAACAAAGTGTCAGAGGACAGATAGGCAAGACTCAGGCTCTCATTTGCTTCCAGAGTTTATTTCTCAGGTCTGGGATAAAGCCCAAGGGTGCAGAGGTGCTTTGGGGAGCCGGGGCCACGGTCTTGAAAGAAGAAGCGGAGCAGGGGAGTCCTGAGGCTGGGTCACCTGGCTGGGAGGACAGGAGCCACTGGTAGTGCAGGAAATATCCTACCCGCCCCACCGGCCCAGAGTGAACTTCTAGTGTGGGCCTCCTACCTAGGGTCCCTCCAGAGCCTGGTCCCTTGGTCTCAGCAAATGCACCAGCAGAGTCCTTGACCTCCCCTATCCAGCCCTCATTCCCTCCACTCCACCTTCTAGCCCCTCCACTCTGGTCTTGGTTCCCGGTGGACCTCCTGCCCTGCCTCCAGGCCTTCCTACCCCCAGGAGCCAGAGATCCCTGCTGTGAGATGGTCCCTGAAGGTGGGGCCCCTCTCCCTTTCTACCTGGGACCTACCCTCCTGGGCCCCTGGGAATCAGCCCTAGTCTGTTGGGGGCAGGTCTTCCTTCTGATGGTTGTAACTGGAGGTCTGGTCTGCTCTGGGAGCTCCTGCCCCCACCCCACGACCCCTGAGGTGGCGGGTGTGTGCTGAATGTGTGAGTGGTACCTGAGTGGCAGTCCCGGGGGGAAAGGGCCCGTGGCACCAACTCACTCACCTATTCTTGCTCCTTCAGGCATTTATCTGTCAAGAAATAAGCCCAGGGGGCCATGGTCAGTGCCACAGGCCTGGGCTGTTCTCCTTTCTGGGCTTCCTGCCCCTCTCCTCATGGTGAGGAACCTGCCCTAAAGGCCCTGGAGAGCTGGGTCTTGATTGAGACCCCCAAACTGCAGACTTCATCCCACCCCCAACACTCATGGCACCACCATGAGGAACTGGGGGCCTCTGTGTCCTTGTGGCTGGCAGGCAGAGTGTCTGGTGTCCTTTGGGAGGGGGTTCCTAGTAAAGGGGCCTGCAGGCAGAGGTCATGGGGTGTGGAAAGACCAAGAGCACCCTGTCATCCCAGGGCTGTAGGCAGGTCAGCGGGTGGAAGGGCAGGGCCATCCTGTCCCATCCTATCCCACTCAGGGCATCGCCTACCCTAATCTGACTGTAATCCACTGCCCAGCCGATTAGCCCCCCTCACCATTCTGGGGAAGGAAGACAATGTCGTTCTCTGTGAAACCATGGGCCTTGCAAAAGTCAGCAAACTTCTCCTTCAGCTCAGCCCTTGGGGTCTGAGTGCGGCCTGGGTGGGTAGAGAAGAGCCAGCCTTGGAGAGGAAGCTCTCTGCCCTGCCCCACCCTGAGTCTTGGGGACCCCTCCCTGGGATCCCCTCTAGGATCAGGTGTCAGTTCTCTGCTGACCCCATGCCAGGCCAGCCTAGGGGTCCCTTCATGGGAGCCTGTGGGGTGGGGAACCTACTGTAGAGCGTGGCCATGTGGAAGTCCTGGCCAGGGCCCTTGGTGCCCTGGCTGAACAGCAGTGCGTACTCCTTGTAGTTGGTCTCCACCACTGAGACCGCGTGGGTGCTGCCCCAGTCTGGGAACCCAAGAGAGAAGCCTGGTTGGGGGCACCTGCCACTGCCTGGGGAAAGGGTGTCTTCTATGGGCGGGGTTATGGGTGTGCATGGGAGGGTCTCAGGTCCCGGGCCTGTAGGGGATGCTCCCCTCTGGCTGGCTGCTCCCCAGTCCCTCCCCAGTTCAGCCCCTCCAGCTCGGGGCTTCCCATCTGCCCAGGAACTGTGTTCCCAAACCAAAGTCCTCAGAGTAAGAAACACACAAGATCAGAAAACCATGAGCTCCTGGTCCAGCAGGGAAGGGGAGGTGGAACTGGAGTGCCTGGGGGTGCCCTAGCTGGGCAGAGGAGTCCTGGGAAAATTCCACCCAGCAGGGAGGGGCCTGGCACAGCATGCGTGGGCTTGGGAGAGGTTCCAGTCCCTTGAGGGAGGGTCTCTCAGTCCCCCCAACTCCCGGCAGGATCATGCCCAGACCTTGATGGAGCTGACCCTGGTGGAGCGGCCATCACCCCAGCAAATGCCTTGGAGGGGATGAGGGGCAGGGTGGAGCCCACTCACGTGGACTCAGGTAGCTGTAGGAGCCAGGGTTCCCTGTGGGCTGCAGCAGCATGGTTCGGGTTTCACACTGGTTTTTCCTGTGGGCAGGTTACTTCCGAGGTCAGGGGTCAGGCCTGAGGATGTCCCCAGACCGCGACAATAGGGTGGGATTCTCTAGGTCCCAGAACCCGCTGTCCCACCTGAGGAAGGTAGAGGTGAGGTTGAGCCCGCCGTCCGCGGTGGGCGTCACCACCGACTTGCACATGGACAGCATCGATTTCTTCTCCCGGAACCAGCTCGAATTGGAGGCGAGGCCCGCGCTGAACCAGCGCCCCAGGAACTGTGGCGAATGAGCGCGACAGGGTCGGCGGGGCGCAAGCGGCGGGCACCCGGACCCCCACCTCCGGCCTCCAGCCCGGCCCCGCCCCCCATGCCGTGATGACCACGCCCCTCCAGAGGGCCCACCCCTCAGGCTTGCCCCGCCCATTCTCCGCCCCCGGGCCCACCAGGCGTCAGCCCTCTCCCGGGGACGTCCCCGGTCGGCCCGATCAGCATCCCAGTGATCTGGAGAGGCGCCGTCTGCCTGGCAGAGCGCGCCCCATTCCTGGAGGGGTCAGGGCGGGGTTCCCCTCGGCTAAACGCGACGCGTCCGCGAGACGCTGGGGAGGGGCGCGTGGCGGCGCGCTCAAGGGCAGGGACTTGATCCGCGCGTCCCCGCCAGCTCCGGCGCACGAGCCTTGGTGGCTGCTTGTGGCCCGAGCGCGTCCCCGCCCGCACTGCGGGGTTCTCTGCCAGTCGGTGTGCCATCGCCGTCTGCGCAGTGCGCAGAGACGCGTCCTGGGACCCAGCGTGGGACGTAAGCCTGTGTGTGCGCTGGGGATGGTGTTTGAACGGCGTGGCGTGGGCGTGGGCGCTACGCGGCCCTCGTGTCTGCGTGTTCAGTCAGTGGAACCGGTGAAATGCCGCTCTCACCGCCAGCCTCCACGGTCAGTCTCCTGGGGCAGCCGCGCAGCCCTCCTTCCCCGCTTGGCCCAGGCTCTGCCCGGTTCTGCCCGGCACTGCAGCACTTAGCGCCCCTTCACCAGGGAGAAACAGCCCTGAAAGTGCCCATTCTCCTAGGGCCTGTACAGTCTTTGGTCAGGGGACCCTCACCTTGTCCTGTTGGAAGTCGGGCTGCACAGAGACCTGGGCCTGGGTCTGCAGGACCCCCAGGACCCCCAGCAGAACCAGCTCCATCCACAACATGCGCAAAGTCGCCATTCTCGTGGAGCAGAGCAGGTGTCCCAGTTGGGTACCAGCAGTGTGGGCAGAAGAGGGTAGGTGGGCAGGAGGAGCAGAGGACACTGAGGAGACCCCTATTTATTGGCCAGGCTTGGCCTCCACCCAGGGCCCAAGGACAGCCCACAAGAGGCTCGTGATTCTGAGGGGTGGGGTGGCTGAGCCCAGCTGCAGCCTTGTCCCCCACAGGGCTGCTTATGCAAGAGGCTCCCACAGAGACCAGCCAGGGCCCTGCTGTGCTAGGGACATAGCTGGCCAAAATCTTGTCTATTCCATTCTTGCTGGCAAGCCCACCCACCCCAGCAGCTGGATGGGCAGGGAGGTGCTGCCCTACCTCTGGGGCCTCTGGTCACTGCCCACCTGGGGCCAAGACCTTCCTCTCACAAAATCTACCCATCATTCACTGTCCTTGAATGAGAGGCTTGAGACTTAGGGAACCCTAAAGCCTCAGTTGTACATTGAGAATTTGGTTCAGAGAGGCCAGCAGGCCAGGTGGTGACCAGAAGCTCCAGCCAAGGCAAAGAAACTCAATCTAACAGGCAGGGCACTCAAGGCAGGTGTCCTAAGCACAGCAACCCCGTGACCAGATGTGGGGCTTTGATGATGGTCCCCTTAAGTGCCCTTGGGGAAAGAACACAGGAGTAGGCGGAAAGGGGTGGGGCCGCAGGCTGAGAGGGCCATCTGACTGCAGTGGGGGGGGGGGGGGTTGCAGCCTGCCACTGCTTTCTGGCTTTGTGGCCTCTTCCCTGGCTGGGGACCTGCAGGCCCTGGGAATGAGGCCTATGTGTCCTGCCCTTCCTCCCATTGTCTGGGTCCCTGGGGCATAGGATTATTTAGCATCAATAGCTGGGTGAGCAGTGCCACAAGGGTTTCTTGCTTTCTCAGTGATATTGGGACTGTTGGGGGTGGCAGGGCAGAGGCCAAGGTCGGAGGGTGGGGCCAGAGTCAAGAGGCACCCCAGAGTGAGCCCGAGACCCTGCTTCTTGCCCAGCCCTGACCAGAGCAGTCCATCCATGCCCTGGGCCAACAGGGAGAGACTCTGAAAGGACAGGCAGGACTTGGGGCCCTGACTCCGGGACCCTGCACTGCCCCTTGGCTTGGTCCAGCAGCAGATATGGAGAGTGCAGAGTGGACCAGCAGAGTGGCCAAGGACAAGGTGTGGGGGCAGGAGGAGGTGTGTGGAAGGAAGGGCCCCTGGGGGTGTGCCACTGAGTCCTGGCTGCCTCTGGCCTGGGGAGAGCTGTGGTGGTCTTGAAATGCTTCCAGGGGTGGGAGCCTCTTAGAAGAACACCTGGCCCCCTGGTGGTCCTTGGTGGTAGCTCCACCCCAAGGGTGGCCCTGCCTGGTGGGAGGAGGGCTGCCTCTTTCTCCCCCCTCTGGGCCAGCACAGGCATGGCCTTGTCCCACAGGGCTCTGTGTCCCTTCAGGAGAGATTCTGCCCTGCTCCAGGCCAGAGAGCCCTCACTCACTCAGCACCCACTCACGGGGCTGCCCAGGCCAGACTGGCTGCACTGCAAACTTGAGACACAGAGCTACCCCCTGTGGAAAGAGACAGTGTCTCTGTCCCTAGTAAGAGGGGACAGGACTCTGATGCAAGGCCCAGGACCAGGCAGGGGCCAGGGTTCTGGCGTTACCAGCTCAGCCCATCCCCAAACAGCAGGCAGCCCTGCCCCAGGGGGCCACTCTCCAGAGCCCACCCTGCCCTCTCCTGGCATTGGACCTCGGCCTTTCTTGCTGCCTCCTCTCTGACCCCTCTCCTGGTGACTTACCTCAGGGGCCCACGCTCCCCTGGCTCCTGGGCTGCACCTGTCTCTCACCTGACGCCCCTGTCCCCTGGTGTCCTAGAGCCATCTCCCCATCCTGCCCTGCTGCCCTCTCTCCCCCAAGAGCCAGGTCCCATTCTGCCCGGTGACCAGAGCCCAAAGCCCGAGGTGTAGGTTGTCCGTGGCACTCCTTCAAGTCCCGACCTGCCCCCACCTCTGGTTGCCCGGCTCCTCCCCTTCTCCAGGCCCATAGAGCTTCCAGGCTGTGCTGGACACAGCCCGGTCCAGGCCCCCCGAGCCCAGCAGGAGACCCGAGCAGGCATATGATGTGCACATGTGGCTGTCCAGCTGCCAAGCAGGACTGTGCACCACCGGGGACTGGGGAGCGGGCACATCTGCCTGGCTGCTCTGCACACCAGTTTCTTTTCTTTTTTTATTTTAATATTTATTTCTTAGTTGGACACGGTACCTTTATTTTGTTTATGTATTTTTACGTGGTGTTGAGGATCGAACCCAGGGCCTCACGCATGCTAGGCCAGTGCTCTACCATTGAGCCCCAGCCCCAATCCTGGACACCAGTTTCTTTGGGTCACACGGAATGTGTCCTTGAGATATCACTGAGGCCATTCCCCTGCCTCTGGCCCAGGCCTGGGCTCCCAGAACCAGTCCCAGTCTAGTCCTGAAGGGGAGTGGTTTCTTCCTTGGGGTGCGACAGTGTCTGAGGCAGGCAGCGATAGGTCCAGGCCTCTGTCTCAAGGGGTTCGCTCTCAAGGGCCCAGGCTGCTCCAATACCTGGTGAGCCCTGTGTCTGACTGTCCACCGGCCTTGACCTACTCTCTAAGGCCTCCTTGGCCCCACCCACCTGTGCCTGGCAGTTAGTGTCCCCCCCTCTGGCTGTGGGTAGTTGTTGTGGGAAGGGGCTTTGGGGGACACAGGTGGTCAGGGGCAGCCCCTGGACCTTGTGTGTCAGGCCCAGCTAGCCTGCCTTTCAGCCCTGCCCGGAAATGCTCCTCTGGAGCACTGGAAGGAGGGGCAGTGCCTGGTCCACCAAGAAGAAGCTGGATAAATATTCTGGGCTCTGAAAGCCAGGCCGAATGTTGTGCTGGTCAGCAGCGTGAGAGGGGTGGGCTCAGTGTGGAGTGGGCAGTGCAGCTCAGGGCCTCCAGGGCCATCTGCGTCAAGGGGACACTCTGACTTAAGGGGGCTGTGCTGGTGGCACCCCAGGCCCTTCTCTCCCAGGCTGGCCTCTGTCATGCCTCGTCTATCAGGTTAGCCTCTGCTGATGCTGGACATGGCCACTCTCCACCTGCCCTCCCAACTGCCTGTGCCCTTCCTCACACAGCCCAGGAGAATGCACCCTCCAGGAGTCCAGCAGGGCAGGAGTTGGGGTAAGATCCACCCTGGAATTTGCGTATCTGTGCATTGCTGGCCAGGTCCTGTGGAGGGGGAGGTTGAGGATGGCCTCCACCTGTCCTGGGGCCAGGGAGCTGGGGCCAGGGAGCTGGGGGCTGGTTGGTCCCCTCTGGAGAGCAGAGGTCCTGCCCAATTCTGCCTTAAGAAAGGGGTGTGGCAGGGCTGTGGGGAGGGACAGCCAGGCCAGCACAGTCCTGCCCACTCCTGCTCTCCTCCACTGACCACCGCTGGGACCTCAGCTCAGGGCAGACCTTTGGTGCTTCCAGAAGCTGCCGGCCCAGCCATGGTGGCCAAGCCCCAGTGACTCCATTGCCTGCTGAAGGGTTGGGCAGGGGGGGTCTGGCTGGGCACCCCTCTCCTCCTCACGATGCTGAAAGGCTGGTTTTAGGGGAGGGGCTTGCTCCTCCAGGACTGTGTGTGTGTGTGTATGTGTGTGTGTGTGGGTGTGTGTGTGTGTGTCCCGGCTCTGATTTGGGCTGGCAGGAGTCTCCAGTGTCTCCTGGCTATGGCCAGGGGGCACTGGGGCAGCTGAGTGTCCTGGGTCTTGGTCCAAGCCTGTCCCTAAGTCAGAGACTCCTGCCTTTCAGTCTGGAGTAGAGGACAGCCCAGTAGTGTCCTCCACTCCTGATCCTAGGCTAGTCAGTGAGGTCCAGGCCTCAGGACCCTCCCTCACTGCATTGTCCCTTTAAGGCTGGACCTGACGCCTTTTCAAACACTCTGGGGAAAAGTGACTCCAGGGAAGTGGGGACGCAGGTCTGTGCAGGGTCATGGAGGGGTCCCTGGCAGAGGGCAGCTGAGCTCAGGCCCTGAGGGGTTGGAGAAGGTGCCTTGGTCATGGGCCCCTCTGGCCACCATCTCGAGCACCCTGGTGGCCCCCCTGGTCACTGTACACTCCCTGCTCCCAAGCTGGGACCAGTTCCTGCCAAATGTCATAGAAGGTAGCCCAAGTTGGAGGACAGGTCAGGCTCTGTTGGCCCTGGAGTTGAGACCAGTCCAGGAGCATGCCCTGTCCAGATGGGAAGGTGGACACTGGAGGGATAAATGAGGACATATCTGAGGGGATGTCCTATATATCAAGTGAGATACGGTGGCTCCTCCAGGCTGGGAGTGCCCCAGTGGCATGGCCCACAGCCCTGTCCCACACTGATGGTGGCCAAGGACGTCGGACCCACCCCCCTGTCACCAGTGGGTTTATTTCTGATGGGAGAATGGCAGACAGGGCTGAGCTGCCTTGCAAAGGGCCCAAGCCAGGCTGAGATGGCGGTGAGGGCCCAATCTGCAAGGGACAGAATGGCCCTGAGGGCACATTCACCCCTCAACAGGAGCAGGGGAGGCTGGAGCAGAGGCCAGGGCAGCCAGAGGCCAGGAGGAGTGGGGTGAGCTGACCGGGAACAGGGCAGGAGGACCACTAGGAGCCAGGGAACAGAGGCCCAGGGTAAGATCTCAGTTGCTTCCCCACCTTGGTGGATCCCTGCACAGGGCCCCAGAACCCCCCAAGCCCCAGAAGCCACAGCCGTCACACTCAACGGCTCACACAGGCCTCTGGCCACAATGCCTGTGAGGACAGAATGGTCAGAGAACCCCGGCCTGAGGGCACACTTGCATGACTCCTGACCTCCAGAGCCCCTTGCACCCCCAGGGCTGGCTCAGTAGCTGCAAATGAAGGTGTCCTAGGATGGGGACCTGAGGTTTGGGGGTGGCACATTTTGGGCACAAGTGCATCCTCTCCTCCAGATGCTGGAACAGCCAGTGGAGGCCCAGGTCCCCAGACCCTCCCTGACTGCACTGTCCCCTCTAAGGCTGGACCTAATGTCCCCTCACACAGTGTGCACTGCCCAGGCTCAGGCCACAGGGCAGATCTGCATCCCCTACTTCCAGATCCTTCTCTGTCCTCCCCACTGGGCCCCCACCTCCCCTGACAAGCTCTGCCCCTGCTGGGGCCTGGCCTCCACTAGAAGCAAACAGGCTGTCCCCATGGCCCCTCCCGCCTTCCTCCTGGCCTCAGGGCCGCTGTGCGGGGGACTCCAGCAATCCCAGGTGCTGCCCTAGATTCTCTTCCTGAGCCCAGCACCCAGCCCTGCCCTGAGGATCTCCTGCAGCCCCTTTCTCTGGCTTGTGGGGGCGCGAGGGCTGGGTGCATCTGAGGTCCAGCATCTGGACCCCCATTCTTTGCCCTTAGGGTTCTTGGGACCACATTCCTGCACCCTGTAGCCCGGGGCCCCTCCTTGGTCCACACAAACCTCCCAGTACAGGCCGTGGGCAGGAAGACAATGTGACCCTGCCAGATGCCCAGGGTCCTGGCAAAGTTGATAAATTTCTCCCTCACGTCAAAATCCAGCTCCTTTTTCTGCCCTGTGCCAGGAAGGGGGCAGTGAGCCCTGGGGAGGACCCCTTTCTCCCAGCCACTGGGGAGCCTTGGAAAGGGCCTTCTTCCCTGGGGGAGGCCCTGCACCCAGCTGGCCTGTGGCTGTTGTGCTGCCCAGGGGCCCCGCCAAGCCATGTGGTCCTGACCTCCTTCTTGGGGCCTTATTTCCGTGGGGAGAGCCAGGGTGCTTGTGTCTCTACACTTAAGTCTTATAATTTTTGGAACCCAACTCTGGGGAGCAGGCAGAGGTCTCAACCTTGCCAGTGGGGCGGGGCGCTGCTCACCCCTCTAGGCACACACCAGCCAGCCCCTGGAATACCCCGGGGCACAAGACCAGGGTCAGGGAGGGAGAAGTCACCTCCCCAGCCTCCGAGGGAGTTCCAGCCTGGCTGACCCTTGGGGACAGGGGTCCTGGTCCACTGTTTGCAGGGTGGGGTCCTGTGGAGGAAGAGACCCAGCCTCTGGTTGTGATGGGGTTTGGGGGTGGGACGAGGATTCAGGGTCCTCTGCTTCCCAGGCTTCCCCGGGCAGTGGCCTGTGGCCGCCTGCTCTGCCCTAGGAGCTCCTCTGGGTGCTGTGCAGCAGGTGGGGAGCACCAGGGGCCTGGAGGCAGCTGACAGCCCAGAAGCCCGGGGTGGTGCTTCCCTTGGCTCCCCACCCTGGCTCCCCATCTGGCTCAGTTGGTCGATCCAGGGAGTGGCCGTCACCTACCCTCAAACCCAGTGCCCCCGAGAGCCAGGGTGCCCTGCCTGTAGCGCTCTGGTGGCCAAAGCCCTGAAGGCCCAACAAGGAAGAGGCCCCAGAGCAGATTCTCGGGCCGGGGCCTACTGCAGTGTAGGTGTGCCCCATGTCCCGCCTGTGTCCCAACAGCTACAGCGGCTCATGCCACCCCAGGGCGGAGACACAGGGACTCACAGGACACAGCCCCAGTGGGACACCAGCCCACCCTGCGCAGCACCTGGGATTGCTGGAGTCCCCCGCGCAGCGGCCCTGAGGCCAGGAGGAAGGAGGGAGGGGCCGTGGAGACAGCCTGTTTGCTTCTAGTGGAGGCCAGGACCCCACAGGGGCAGAGCCTGGGGGGGCAGTGGGGAGGACAGAGAAGGATCTGGAAGTAGGGGATGCAGATCTGCCCTGTGGCCTGAGCCTGGGCAGTGCACACTGTGTGAGGGGACATTAGGTCCAGCCTTAGAGGGGACAGTGCAGTCAGGGAGGGTCTGGGGGCCTGGGCCTCCACTGGCTGTTCCAGGATCTGGAGGGGAGGATGCACCTGTGCCCAAAATGTGCCACCCCTAAACCTCGGGTCCCCCAAGGCTGCTTCTTCCTGGGAGCTGGCCCCTCACCTGCCCTCTCCCTAGAACCCCAGTGAAACACTTGCCTCATGTGGAATTTTCGTTCCCCAAACTCAGAACCCTACGTCCCCATTCTGCAGCATCCCTCAGCACTGAAGTCCCTGTGCCACTGGCTGCCCGTCTGCCACCAGCCCAGGCCTCCTCACCTTCCTGGGGTTGGCCCTGGGCCCTCCTCTAGCCCTAGCCCCTGGGCCCCGGCTTGGCTGGCCCCTGGTGATAGAGCTTACTCCCAGTAGGCACTGCTTCCACCCCCTGGAAGTCACCCTCTGTCCTCTGCCAGCCCAGTCGCCTCATCACCTGGCAGGACTCGGTCCCACCTGAGTGAGACAGGAGTGATGGGCAGCTGGTGGCCCCTGAGTCCGAAGGTCACCATCTACACCAGGAACTCGGCTCCGTCCTTGCTCCTAAAGGTGTTGCTGGCCCCCTGTAACTATAGAGCTGGTGACAGGCAGGGGCAGGCGCACAGTCCCAACCTCCCTGAGCAGCCCCGGCAAGACCCCTGCCCAGGCAGCAGACTCTGGGATGAGGCTGCACCAGTGGTGCTGGACCTGGCAAGCACAGGGAGATCCTGGCCAGGGTCAGGTGGCCTTCCTGGGCTGCAGCTTCCCCATGTGGACAGAGGAGTTGTCCCCTGCTGGTGGGCTCCCAGGATGGGGGAGTGCTCACGGTGGCTGCAGGCTGGAGCTGGCTGGGCGCCAGCTCTCCTCTGCCCCTGCCCTGGTGCCCCCCCCCCCCCCCGAGGCTGGGACGCAGGCAGATCTTGTGGAAGGGCAAGTTTGGGGCCTGGGGACACTGGTGCCCCCAAAGCTGTTTGGGGCCTTGGCCCTGAGTCTGCCCAGTCCCCAGCAGAGGGAGACCCATCCACAAGGGCTCCATTCTTGGCTGAGGAGGTGGGCCCTGGGCAGAACTGCAGGCCGGTGGCGGGTGCAGTGTGGGGTGAGGACTGGACTCAGGCTCCTGTTAACTGTTCACCTGCCAGCCCCGCCCAGGACCAGCCCCGCCCAGGACCAGCCCCGCCCAGGACCAGCCCCGCCCAGGACCAGCCCCGCCCAGGACCAGCCCCGCCCAGGACCAGCCCCGCCCAGGACCAGCCCCGCCCAGGACCAGCCCCGCCCAGGACCAGCCCCGCCCAGGACCAGCCCCGCCCAGGACCAGTGACTCAGATACAAGAAGAGTAAGATTTTCCCCTTAGGTCTCCTTGGCAGGACCTGGCAAGGGGCATGGCAGGAAGGGCAGCGGATCCTCTGACTTGGCCAGCAACAGTCAGGGAGTGGGTTTCCCACCTGCCTTCCCTTGGTCCCTGGATCTCCTCCTGGGGAGGGTGGTGCCTGCAGAGACCGCCAACTCCCAGGAAGGTCCCAGGCCGCGCCTTTCCCCACAGGCCCCAGCCCTGCCTGCACTTCTGTCCCCCAAGACCGTCTGAGCCCCACTCCGGGCACCAGGCCAGGGCAGAGCTCCCAGCCCAAGTCTGGCAGAGCAGCAGCCAGCATCTGTGAGGGTCCACTGTGTGCCCAGCACTGCGATCCTGTCGGGCACAGCCTCTGCATTCACCACCCCCGCCTGGGAGCAGGCCAAGCCGGTCCCTGGTCCCTGCTCCCTGGGACAGGCGAGCAGGGACAGCGTGTGCTGTGCTCTGGCCGGCCCAGCACCATCCCACTCTACCCACAGGTTCAAGGCCACTGTCCCTGCCCCAAACCTCCTCTTCCTTAGATGCACTTGCTCTGATCCCAGCCCCCTGCCCGTGGTGGCTGCCCGAGTACATGAGATTCCCGCCCCCAGCCTACCCTCTGGTCCCTCTCAGCAGCTGCTGAAAGGGGCAGCTGCCAGGATTCCCACCAGCTGAGTCCTGAAAGGGGACCCTGGGGTTGGGCAGACCTGGGAGGAACCTCAGAGTGACCTTGGTCTTGGTCTCCTGCAGCCCAGTTCTCTGGGTCTGGGGACAAGTGAGTTTGGTGGCCCAGGCCCTGAGCTGCAGGAACACCCCCATCCAGAGACCACGATTCATGCTGAGGCAGCCCTCTGTGCTGGAGGCACCCCTTTCTCTGCTGCAGCCCCTTAGGACCTTGAGCGGTCACTGTCCTCTTCTAAGGTCTGAGCAGAGCTGCAGGGACTCATGGGTACCTGGTGTCTGCCACATACCTGGCTGCTGATAGACATTCAGAGGCCAAGAGGACGTACACACAGAGCCCGGAAAATGCCCCAGCTAAGGACACCCAGGTAGGCGTCTTTGTGCAAGTGTAAACAGGTGGTGTCCATGTGGCCTCTTCTGCAGAGACCATGAGGCAGACGGGGTCACTGGTGTGGCCTTTGGACACAGGGTGACCTGTGCCTCTCAGAGGATGCAGTTGCATGAAGTCCCAGGAGTGAATGTCTGATTCTCAGCTTTAAACTTGCCGAGGAGATGTGGGCAGTGGGCAGCACTCTCACCCGCCCTGGACACCTACGCCAGTGGGCGCTCGTTATGTCACCGTCTGGCACGGAGGCGTTGGCCCTGCCCTCTCTCATCTGGACATCCCGGCCTCCTCACAGACTTCTGTCGGCACCCACCCAGGACCCTGGTGGCCTCCTAGCACTGCTCTGGGCGCTGGCTCCTGGGCTTCACGACCACCGCGGTTGCAAGGAGCCCTGGCCAGGCGTCTTGTCCACTCTATCTTATGATTCAGGTTGGTGACAGGAAGATTCTGGAGGTGAGGACATGGCCTGGTCACCACGGTGCATGGGGGTCACCGTCCACACAGCCTATCCTCTGCTGATGTGACCCTGGCCACCTGACCGAGTCTGTGCCCAGGCTCTCCTCCCGAAGTTACTTTCCATCCCTCTCTCACGCTGCCTCCTGCAGGAGCGTCACTGGGGGCAGCCCATGGCCAGAGCAGGACCTGGGACCCCTCCTCCTGGGTCACTCGCAGGTTTTCTGCAGAGAGATCTGTCCCTCTTTTATTTCCTTTCTCAACTATCGGTGGGCCTCGGCGTGGCCTCGGGGCCGTGTGTTCTGTACTCTGCAGTATAAACCTAAGGCTTCCCTGCTGAGTCTGTTGATAGGATCCTCCTCACTCTGGCTGTTGGGATTGGGTCATTTGACCCCCGTGTCCTTTGACATGGCTCCCTCTGGGGGTTTTTCTCTGTTCTTTGTTTCCTTGGCAATTTGAGGTGTGTGGAAACCCACAAACCCACCCCTGGAATCAGGATCTCGTCTGCACCCCGAGACCCCTCCCACCCCTCCCCACCGGCCTCTGGCTGTCCCCACTGAGGCTCTGCTTGGTCCTGTAGGTAGCTGGCACTTCCGGGTTTCCTGAGTGGTGTCACACCTCAGACACTGGACGACTTCCTGCACCTAGCAGCCATGGATCCTCGGGTCACCTGGCATCGAAAAGGATGGTCACTCAGCTTCCTGTTGCTGTGTCCAGGTGCGAGGATGCTCCGCCGTTGGTCCTTCTCCTGTTGATGGACATGGGGTGGCTTCCAGGTTGGGGCTGTCACTAATAAAGCTGCTGGAAAATCCAGGCATACATCTCTGGGTATGTGCTCCGGTCCTCCTGGGGACATGGAGGGCTGTGGTGGCCATGGGTGGGGTTGAGCTTAGGCACTGCCAAGCTGCTCCCCGAACTCCCCAGGTGGGCTCTTCTCCTGTGGCCACCATAGGGGAGCAGGAGCACCTGGGGGACCTGTGGGGTCCCTGGTCCACTGCTGCCAGGCCGCAGCTCAGCCCAGGCCCCGTGGCCCCCGAGGGAAAGGCGGTGGTCACAGGCATGCGGACAGCCAGGACAGGACTGGGCCACAGGACTCAGCATCCAGCTTAGACCTGGGACAGAGTGGTGGGGCTGCTCTCACAGTGGACCCCAGGGCCTGAAGGCCTTCTGGGAAGGGAGGCTCGGAGGCCCCAGGAACGGAGGCGGAGAGGGTGTGGGGGCACCCTAGGCAGTCTGAGGCCTCCTGGCCTGGCTGGCGGGGTGGGGGGCTCTCAGGTCCCAAGGCCTCAGGGCCACCCCACAGGGGCAGTGCCACTGTCTAGCAGGGCTTCTCTGGCCCCACAACACACAGACCCCACAGAAGCGGCCCGGCTTGCCCTGAGCCCAGAGCCAGGCCTCCTGGCCCCTCAGGGGATTTCTGCTGCCACCCGGGCCTTCCCCACACTGCCCCTCCTGTCACTGTGCAGTGCCCTCACAGGACCAGGGGATCCCTCAACGTCTCCTGGCAAACTCTCCAACCCTCCCTAGATCCCAGCCTGATGATTCCTAGCACCCTGAGCCCCAGCCCAGGGCAGAGCCCTCATGGGGATGTGGCTGGGGACGCGCCAATCACAGGAGGCCCGATGGAGAAACCCCGACCCCTGTTGGTCCACACAGAGCCAAGACGCAGACTGCATCCTGGAAACAAGCAGCTTTCCACTGCATCCTGGCTGGCACAGCCACCCGTCCCTAGGGGGGACAGCAGCTGGGCAGAGGCAGCCTGCAGTGTGTGCCTCTGCTTGCCTGTGCCCGCACCTGCCAGCCTCCTCCAGATGGCTTGGGGACCACAGCTTCCCCTCAAGGTGGCCGAGCCCACAGACCCTGTGAGCTCCAGTGAGGCCCACTCCCAGCTCATATGCCAAGAGGACACCAAGGGGGTCCCAGGGTGCCTGCCCCACCCCTTATCTGGTGTTGCTGAGACCTGCCCTTGGCCACAGGTGGCTCCGGCCACTGTGCATTGTGGTGAGGGACCTCAGCATCTGCAGCTGTGGGAGGCCTGAGGCCCCTGCCTGTGGCAGTAGGCTGGAAGGGTCCCCAAGCCCCGGCTTGGACTTTGGTTTGGTGTCCAGGAATGCCCTGGTCTGCCTCTGGCTCTGGGTTTCGCTCACCAGGCACCCCCTTCCTCACTCCTGAGCTGCCCCAGGGCAGGATCTGGACACCCCAACGTGCTGACCACTGGGGCCCTCCCCGTCCTCCAAGCCTTGTGTAGGCGGGGCCTAGTCATGTGGTGGGTCCTGACAAATCAGGAAGGCCCTGCCTGCTCAGGGGGTCTGCAGGGGTCCAGGCTGAGGGTCTCCTTCCCAGTCTAAGCTCAGGTGAGGACGTCAGCCCTGTCCCCAGAGGTGCCAACCTGCACCAGCCTCTGCCCCTCTCTAAGAGCACTGGGCCTGGGCTGCCCTTTCCAAAGATCCCCCAAAGTCACCCCTTCCCAGTGAGGGGTCTCCAACACAGAGCCCTGAAAAGAGGGAGGCTATGTATCCCACCTTTCCCCAAGGGCAAGGAGGGACAGGACACCCCCATGTCACGCCTGCATCAGGAGCAGGGCTGCCAGTGGACAAGCAATCCTGACCCTGTGGACCCCTGGGCCACCCTAGGGTGGGAAAAGATGGGGTCTCCCCAGGGAAGAGGGGGCAGCTGTGTGGGCCTCAGGACCCAGGAGGGAGGGTGTCAAGAGTCGGAGACCAGAGCAGGAACTCCAGTTCAGCTCCACCGCCACAGGGCTGACCGCGGGCTGACCGTGCTGGCCCCCACCAGGCCCAAACCTCCTGACCCAGCTGCCCACTTCCTCCTCCAGCAAACTGCAGGCTCAGCTCCGGAGGCTGCAGGAGCCGGTCCAGGGCCAGCAGGCCCAGATGGTGCCTGGAGAGCCATGCTCTCAAGCCAAGGTAAAGACTCCAGGGCCTGAGGGCGGGGGCGCTGGCCCCCCGGAGGGCTGGGCAGGCACCACCCAGGGTCCAGCAGCAGGGGCCAGCCAGAGCTGCCCACCTGAGGAATAGTGTTTCCAGGCCCCAGGCCTGTCCACATCTCTGGGCCAAAGTTCCTGGACAAGCCCTGGAAGCCCCTGACCCTGCAGATCTAAGGGGGGCCGGGAGGGGCCAGGTCTTCCCCTGGCACCCTGTCACAAGTCTGGCCTCTCCCACCTCTCTGAAGGCCTCTGTCCTCTCTGTAGTGCCACCAGCAAGAGTGAAGGTCCACATGGGGCCAGCAGGCAGGCAGAGGGACCCAGGACCACCGCCCGTGCTCACAGGGTCCTTGCCCGCCGCCCAGCTCTGTGCACAGCCTCGCACGGGTCTCCCGACTCTGCACAGCCAGGTCCACCAGGGCCCTGCGGTGGGGCCCCGACCCCACCCAAGCAGCCGAAGGTGGCAGGGTGGCTTCCTGAACACAGGGACAGTGGGTGGACAGGCTCTGATCTGAAAATGTGGGTGTGAGCAGGGTGCTGTCCACCACGGCCAGAGTCCAGGACCCAGAGCCAGCCGGGGTGGCTCTCTGCAGGCATGCAGCTGCCCACAGGGCTTTGCTTCCTGTCCAGCTTTCAGCTCTGCCTGGTGGTCTGGGGCCTCCATGCCACCAAACCTATCAGCATCAAAAAGTGCCTCTACACTGACTGGAGAGACTCGTGCCAACGGCCAAGGTGGGTCCTGCCACAGTGCGCGAGGTGGCCGTGCATGGAGCCAGGGGTCCTGGGTGCCCCATGGTGCCTCCCAGTACCTCCAGGCCCACTGGTGAAGGTCCTGGAGACTGAGACTCTCCAGGATGGAAGGCCCATGTATGTCGGTCCCCCTTGAGTCCCTCGGGCTTCCTGGGCTCTGGCACCAGGCTGAAACCAGGCCCACTGCTTGTAGCAGGTTATTTATGGTGTTTGTGTAAAAACCACTATGGCCGTTATCCACAAGTGTGGCTGAGCGTGTTGGGCCGGTAGTCAAAGACGGGTAAGATCCAATTACAATGGTACCAACCTAAGACAGGAGGCTGACGATTTGAGGTCAGACCATACAATGACGGGTAAGGACCATATGAAGTATTGGACAACCTAAACCAGGCACGGTCCCTAAGCCACATACTTGTTCTTTAAATTAAACAAAAGGGGGAAATGTTAGGGTCTGTAAACAAGTCAAGATGGCGCCTGGCACTTTGCCAGAGGGAGTGGTTTGTGAAGTAACGCCAGCAAGCCATTAAGATGATAGAGATTCCTTAATGACTGACTGCTGTGCCTAGATTATGTCAATTAAGTTAAGCTGTGTGTAATCATTAAGATGATGAGGATTCCTTATTGGTTGACTGCTGTACCTAGTTTATGTTAATTAAGATAATTAAGATAGTTAAGTATATATACCTCTGCCGTCCAGCAATAAAGCTGCTCCTGCTGTATTAATCCTCACAAGTTGCTTGTCACACCCCCTGGTTATTTGGCTGTAGCCAGACTGCGGCACAAACCCAGAAGGCTGTGTGTTACAGTGATTATGACAACGTGTCTTTGGCCCTGAATAAGCTACACGCCCACATATCGCTACAGACAAAGTTGGCCCTATTGCCTCAGCTTCAGTTGCTCCTGCTGTGTGGACATGGAGATGTGGACGGAGGAGCACTGTGTCCAGCTGCTCTCCAGCAGGCCACAGTAGCTCCATGTCCTTTGCACTGTGGTTGTAGGCTCTGGTTACAAAGTGTCCCCTGATGTGCCACCAGGGGACATTACAAAAGATGGCATGGTAAGATTGTGGGGCCTTGCAGGCACCGTGAGTAGAACGTGCCATCCTGAAGGAAAGGAGGAACCCATGTCCCTCTCCATGCCCGAGCACTAGCGGGTTCAAGGACGGGAGCATGGGTTTGGGCTGCAAGGTCCAGATGTGACTTGTCCCGAAGGACGTGTGCTGTCACAGAGTGACTCCCTGCACACAGACCAGGCTCCTCGGGAGCTGGTCACCACTGGACAGGGCCCCAGAGGGACAGAGGTGTGCTTTCTGGGGAAGCGCTGGAGGTAGCATGAGAACCAGGACCTCTGGACGTCCTCATGGGCATTCCACACCCCGTCTCCGTCTCCGTGGGGTCTTTGGTGTCTTGATGACCTATCTCACTGCCCAGAACAATGAGGCTGTGGACATTGAGAAGGGAGGAGGGAGGAGGGGCAGAGGGCAGGAGGGAGAGGTGGAGAGGGAGAGGAGCCGCGTTAGGAGAGAGGAGGCGCCGTCATGACAAAGCCTGGACATGGCGCTGAGTCACTGCGCCCAGCTCCCTGTGGGATGGTGAGGGCGGTGCCCCGGGGCCCCCGACTCTGTTAAGCTGAAACACAACCAAGACAGAAAGTCGGGAGGCCGAGAGGCTGGGCCCACCTGGTCCAGCGTGGACGAGCTTCGGGGCAGCCGTCCTGGGTGCCAGCCGAGCCAGGGGCTGGAGGCCTGCCCTCGACGCTGCCTTGTGCCGGCCATCCCTGCTGGACCACGAGCAGGCAGGAGCCCAAGGCAGGAAGGTGAGCTCTTCCTCCCAATCTCTCCACTGCGAAGGGGCCAGGTGCTGGGTAAGGGAGGTCAGCAATGGGATCTGGAGCCAGAGCCAGGAACTGACCCCGTGCTGGACGCTGCTCTCGCCCCCTCACGGACTCGTGGACACAGTGGACGTCTACTAATTCACTTAAGGAAACCCGCCATCCTCACACATGTGAGGGGCTCTTGCTTCTTTCCCCGAACGAGGACCCGCGGGGCCACACGCCCCCAGAACCCTCACTTGGTGTTGTTGACCCCTCAACTCCAGGCCCACTGAATGTTCTGTCTCCAAAGCTGGAGTCGAGAAGCTGATCTCCAACAGCCGTGGAGAAACAGTGGAGCCTGAGAGGGGCAGGCACAGGGCGCAGAGAGCAGGCCGGGCGCCCCTGCCCAGCCGGACGCCCAGAGCCTCCATCCTTGCTGGGTGTGCTTTCTTCCTGTGGGGACGGAGCCAGGGCCTGGCACACGCAGGGCAAGTCTCTGTCACGGAGCCACCTCAGCACCCGGGTTGGGTTTCAGCCTGGTGCCGGAGCCCAGGAAGCCACCATGTTCTTAGTCCTAAAGCCTGGGTGTCAAGGGAATTAAGGGGGCTTCAGTTGTGCCCTGACCCTCCCAGGGACAGGGGAAGGGCTGCAGGGTCCATCCAGGCCGTTCTCCTCAGCACCTGGGACACAGGAGGCCAGGTTGTGGGGCTCAGGACCTGGCTATGCAGGGGAGCCCTGCTCTGGGGGAGCACAGAGGGCCAGCAGGAGGGGGCAGGGAGGCAAGGCAGGAGAGAGTGAAGCCAGCGATCCGGGGCCTGTGTCCACCACCCGGTTGTGGGAAGCCACATGAATGACCACACCTTCCAGTCCTGATGCCTCAGATTCTGACCGACCACTGCATTCGCTCGGATAGTAAGGGGTCTTCCTTGTGGGAGGTGCCTCCAGGGCTGAGTTACAGCCACCTGTCCCCGGTAACCCTGCCCTTCTGGCCTTTTGTGGATAGGGCTTTCTAAAGAACAAGAGTCCCCCCAATAACAGCCCCCCTGCGAACACACTTGCTCCCACCAGGCTCTAGTGACTTTCCCTCGCTCTCCCTCTGGGGAGCCTGAGGCCGAGAGTGCAGAAGCCGTCCTGAAGCCTGTTCAAAGTACAAGTGTGCGTCTGTGTTTTATTTGGTGTCCGTGCAAATTCACGGGTGACCTTAAGTTCAGATCCCGCGCAGGTTGGGGTGGCACCTGGTAGCCAGCCCACCTATGGGGGAGAGACCCTTCCTGGGCGCCCTTAGGAAGGACCACCCAACCACGGCCCTTCTGCCACAGCCTTCCCAGGGTCGACTCCAGGAAGATGGCTGCAGATGTCTGACCCCCAGGCCCAGGTCCTCATTAGCAGCTGCAGTGCAGAGCCAGGACCAGGGTGGTCTCTGTCCTCACAGGCCCACACGTGACCCAGCACTTCAGACCAGACGGACTCATGGCCTTGAACCTGAACCTCCTGACCCAGAGCGCAAGACCAAAAGAGCAGAAAACCCTCCCTCACCCCCCGTCATCCCTCTACCCACACCCCTCACCCACCACCAGCCAGCCTCCCTACGGCCAGTGGGGACCAGGCCTAGACTGCTTATCTCCACTCCACCTCCCATCTCCCAGCCCCAGGCATCCGCAGGGGCCGGCTCCTGTCCTGGGGCCCTGCCTAGAGGCCTAGGGACCGCCTGGCCCTGCTGGGCCCCCTCTTGGCCGCCCAGAGCTCCGCTGGTGGAGTGCACACTGGGGGCAGTGAGGGAGGCTGGCCTGTCCTGGGGTGGCCATCACGGCCCTGCCCTGCCATGGGTCCCTTTGTCCTTTCCTGTCACTGACCCCAAGGTCACACAGCCACTCTGGGGTCCTGGGCTGACAGTGGGGGAGGGCAGGGCGGGCGAGGCAGGCCCTTCAGCAGCTTCAGCAGGCAGGGTGAGGGACAGTGGGACAGGCCATGAGGGAGAGGAGAGGGGTGGGCCTGGGAGGGATGTGAGGGAAAACAGGCAGGTGACTGGGAGGGGGTGGAAAGGGGACCAGGGGAAGGGAGAAGGGACCAGCCTGCTCTGGGGTAGGGGCTGGGGACATCAGCCTGGGGTCCTCTAGAAGGCCCCGCCCAGCCTGCCTGCTCTCCATTTCCCACTGTCCACTGCCTGTGAACGCGTTACCGATGGCAGTTGGGAAGACGATGTTGTCCTTGGTGAGACCCTGAGCTTTGACCAGGCAGGTGAATCTGTCCAGCGTCCAGCGGGGCAGATTCCAGTGTCTGCCTGTGCTGACCAGTAGGAGAGCTCTCAGCCAGTCAGATGGGTGGGTGGGAGAGCCAATTGTCCCCAAGTCACCCGGTCAGTCCCAGCCCCCACCAGGGTCACCGCAGGGCTCAGAGCGAGGAGGGGGCTCACCCAGCAGACTGATCCTGATTGTGGTCTGGCTGCCCATCCGTCTGACGGACAGCAGAAGGGCAAAGACCGTGTAGTCGCCATCGACCACCTGGACGTCTTCACTGAACGTGCCGGTCCCCGCCCTCCCGCCTGGGTCAGCCTCGCCCTTGGTGTCCACAGTGAAGTGCCCAGGCTGGGCTGCTGGGATCAGCACGTAAGACCAAGTGTTGCAGCGCTTGCCACTGCGGGCGGGCAGGCAGGCGGGCAGGGCAGAGAAGGCTGGGAGGCCGGCCAGGCCCAGCCCAGAGGCCCCCAGGGAGACACAGAAGGCTGGAAACTGTCTCAGCCCTGGACCCCTCAGTCCCCCCTCTGCAGCCCACCAGTCCACATGCAGGCGGCTACCCGTCAGCTTGGCACGGAGCCCCCAGTCCCCAGGATGTGCAGTGGGAGAATGGCCTTTTCTGGGTCAGCCCTGCTCTGGGGCAGCGTGGCTGGACTCCAGTCTGCAAGCCCTGGGCCAGATGGTGTGGGGGTGAGGGGCACGGAGGGCCAAGGGCAAGCTGTCCCTGGCTGAGGCCAGCAACCCCATGTGCCACTCTCTTGGGCCTCAGGATAGCGCCCAGAGCCGCAGGGCTTCTCAAGGAGTTTGCTTGTTCAGAGAGCCCCTCGGGCAGTCGGCCTGCGGTGACACGGAGGGCGAGAATGGACCCCTCGCTCCCCCAATCAGGCCTGACCCAACCCAGGCCAGTGAGATCTCCAGGAACCTGAGGCCTGGGAGGGGTTCTGAGTGCAGCCACACCCACGCGGGTGACTTCCAGCCTCAGGGCTCTGCGCCCACCTGCCGCAGGCTGGGCCAGTGTGACGTGACTGACACCCAGTCCCCAGAGGCTGGGGGAGGATCTGGGGACACACACCCAGGTGCTGCCTGCCACCAGCCTGGGGTCCCTAGTCTGTGTAGCAGCGTCCCCTGGCTTCAGCCCAAGTCCCCAGAGGCTGGAATGCCTCTGCCTCCCTCCCCCTGGTCTGTGTGGCAATGTCCCCTGGCTTCATGATCAGATACTAGGTGGACTCCAAAAGTCCTAACCAGAGCAGTCACCTGGCCCTCTTCCCCCGCAGCAAGCCAGCCAGGTGCTCAATGAGGCGGCCAGGCTGGGGGAGGGTAGCAGAGTTAGGATTGTCCCTGGCATCCCCAAAGGGCGCCCCTCCCCCGGAGGTTCCCATAGGCTGTCCCCCAAGGCCAGATGCTTCTCCAGCCAGGTGGTGGGCTCTTCATCCAGGTGGGCCAACGAGAGCACCTGTGGCCCTGGGTGTAGCAGCTGGGGGACACTTACTCTAGCAGGGCCACTTGAAGGCTGTCCCCAGCAGACCATCTGGAGCTGCCCACTTCTCTCCTAACATTGTGAGATGACAACCGGATTGGACAGAGGTTGGGCTGAGGCAAGCAGAACTGACCCGGGGTCTATCAGCCTTGAGCTCACTGAGCAGCCTGTGCACTGGACAGAGGCCTCAGGACGTGACGCTGCAGCCCACAGTGTGACGGAGGCCATGATGGCTCCTGGGAGAGGACCCAGATCCTCGGCTTCTCAGACAAGAGAGCCCACTCACCGGGTCATGGTGTTGGAGACCTCAAAGTGGCCCTTTTGGTTGAGCCCAAATGTCGTGGAGAAGGTATTCAGCAAAGCCCGGTCTTCTCTCCTGTAGGTGTTACTTGCCAGACCAAGGACAAACCACTGCCCCTGGAACTGCAGGACGGGTGACAGCAGTCCGTACCCCACCTCGCCATACCCTGGACAGCCCTGAACCAAGATCCCTGCCAGACAGCTGCCCCAGGGCTGGGCCTGCACCACGACTCTGGCAGGGTCACAGCCTGTCCTGCGTCTGGCAGGGACTGGGTGGCCTGGCCAATTGCCAGTGGCCTTCCAGAGCCTCAGTTTCCCCACATGTGCAGAGTCTATGACCTGTGGGAGCCACAGGAGGGAATGTCAGTGTCCTGCTCTGTTGGAGGCCAGGGGAGCCTGAGAGAAGGGCTCGCCTGCCTGGACTCCGGGGCAGTGCCCGCCACCCTCCTCCCTGAACCTGAACTTGGGCCCCGGCCCACTGCCCCGCCAACCCTGTACCTGTTTACTTTGGAAGTTTGCCACCTGTGGTGGGGTGGTTGGGTCCTGGCCCTGCAGGACTGTTGGAAGGGTGAGTGACAGCAACAAGACACACCAAGGGCCCATCCTGGTAGCCACTGGCCCTAGAGGGACCTCTTTAGGGCTCACCTGGCGGGTGCCCCTCCCAAGGGGGTGTGGCGGAAGAGATGTGGAGGGAAGTCTTGGGGAGGCAGGGCAGGCAGGATGGTCCCTCCTCAGACCTCCCCCGCCGTGGTTCCCTGAGTCCCAGGCAGGAGGGACTGGGAAGGCCTGTTGGACCTGGCCTGGGCCTTGTCTTTGGATCCCTCTGTGCCTTCGCCCCCTTTCAAGTGTCCCACCAAGGTCGGGGCCCTGCCCAGCCCTGCCCTGACGACCCTTCCCAACACAGAACATCCTGTCCCAGGCAGAGAGCATGACTGGTGCAGTCCTGATGGGATATCTGCCCCACAGAGCTGTCCCCAGCCCCCAGGACTCCACATGACCCCTGAGTTGAGTGAGCGAGGGTGGCACACCAGCTGGCCTGGTGGCCAGGAGAGCATGGGCGGAGCCAGCCAGAGGGGGAGGGGAGGCGGCCTGGGTGCACCAGGGCTCCCTGGTAAGAACGGCAGAGACTTCCAAAGGGACCTCCACCCAAGCTGAGGGCAGGGGCTGTCCCCCTAATGGAAGTAGGGACCCTGCCAGGGTCCTGCCCAAAAAAGATCTAGCGAGGAGGACCCAGACATCGGCTTCCAGCTGCCCTGGCCGTTTGGAAGTCAGGCCTCAGAAGTCAATGCCCCTCTATGGACACTCCTCCTCCACCCCACTGGCAGCTGAGGAGGTCAGGAGGCTGCGGCCAGGCCCCCGCCTGACAGGGCACCTCCTCTGCGAGCTCCCTGTCCTGGCCAACTCCTCCTCTCTCCTGCCAGGGTCCCTGGCCATCTCCTCCCTCTCCCAGCCCTGCTCATGGGGGACTTGGGCCCATCCCAGGAAGTCCCTGGCCTGGCAACCTGTGCTGGGCAGGAACCCCACCACAAGGCTGAGGGCCTCAGGGCCAGACCTGCCCTCGCCTGGCAAGGGGGCAGCCTGCTGTGCTGACTGGTCCCCATGACCCCTGGCCTTAGTCACCCAGGAAGAGAATGGTGTGAACTGAGCCCAAGACTCCTCTGTACCCTGAGGTTCCAGAAGCACCTTTCTGCTCGCATCTCCTGGGGCCTTCGGGAGCCTGATCAGCAGCCCCTGGGCCCACTCTCACCCTGGCCAGACACGGCCCCTGCCCAGCTGTCTTAGTCACAGGGCACTCTGGGGAGCTGTGGGGAGCAGCAGTCAACAGCATGTCCCAAGTACAGGGACAGCTGGTCCCTCCATACACACACCCAAGCAGGGCCCTGAGGTGGACAGGGCACTGGGGACCCCGAGACAGCCCCTCACCCAGACAGGACCCAGGGCAGCCCCTGCCCCCGTTCCCGAGGCCCTCCCGCTCCCCTTCCCCGACACAGGTCTCAGAAAAGGTGACCAGGGAAGCATTAGTTTCCACAGATTCTTAAAACAATTATTCTCTTAAGATGTTGCAAATCACCTATCAGAATTCAAAGGCAAAATACAAACTATAAGAGCTCTAAATAAAAAAAGATGCACAAGGAGCTATCGTTTAACAGAACGTTTGTTCATTTTATGAAATCATGAATTTATGAAAACGAAACGCGCGTCAATTCTAACGTGCTGCATCTTCTTTTCCCAGGTCAGACCCACACTGCGGTGCAGACCCCCAGGGCAGATTCGTAGGGTCAGGCCACTCAGTCTTTTGGAAGGGTCTCTGGCGCCCCCCTCAGAACAGAGAGAAGAGCACGCAGAGTCTGGCGACAGCGCGATGGGGGACAAGGCTCTCTGTGGCTGAGAGACCTTAGGGTCTCTCGGGGTCCTATGTGATGTGGTTGCTCTTGGGGTCCCTATTTTGGGGTCTCTGGGACATGGAGCTGGAGGGCAGTCTCCTGGGTGGGGCCTGTCCCCCGGTCCCTGCCTCCCCTCTGCCTCCGGCCCTACTTCCCTGCTCTCCTGAGTCCAGCTGCACAGGGACCCTGGGGGAATGGCAGGGGGACCGCCCACAGGACACGGAGCCCATTGGGCAGCTGCTGGCTCTTCCTGGTAGCCACCCACCCCAACCTGAGTCCCACTGCTCTCTCTGAGTGTGGCTGGGCCAGCAGAAAAGGTCCAAACACCAGATAGCCATTCCTCTGTGGCCCAAAGCTCACTGGGCACCCTGGGTCTTCCCACAGCCTGAGGAAGGAGGTTGTTGGAAGGGAGGGCATAGAGAGCAGGGGCCCAGCGCAAGGTCCTGCCCCACCCCCGCCTCCCTGTCTGTGACCTTGGGGGACTCTGGGTTTGCCAGGGGGTCCTCCCGCTGTCCAGAGTCCCCATGCTCACCTTATCTGGCCCAAGCAACAACTGGCTTTCTCCCCAGAGACTCCCACCTCTCTCACCTGGGTGCCCTCCCCCAGTGTCAGGGCACCCAGGTGGCCAGTCCTGCTCTTGGAAGCCCCTGGCTCACAGTGTGCAGGACAGTGAGGCCTCAGCCCAGCCAGGCACCGTGTCCAGGGATGGTGAAGTGACCTTGCTGCCCATCTCTGATATGCCATCCTACCTCAGGCTACAGGGCCCCTGGGCCTCTGGCTCTTCAGCTTCCAGTAGGGGGTCCTGACAGGAGCCCCTCCTTAGGGAAGTCCACCCTGGGCAGGGCCCAACAGGCTGTTGGAGAGGGCGGCCCAGAGGCCAGCACAGGACAGGGGAAGACAGCTGCTGCAGGGCCACACTGAGGGGGAGTTGGGGCCCAGGGGTTCTAGGAAGCTCCCCAGCCCCACCTTGCTGGGGAGGGGGTTCTCAAACGATGGGGGAACAAGCCTCCTCCTCTTCTGGTGCGAGTGGGGACTGAAAGGAGCCAGGGGTCCACTGTGATGTTTAATGAGCTCCCAGGGGGAGGTGGCTTCTGAGAGCAGACAGGGGAGACTCCTCAAGAACCACAGGGCCCTGACCTTGACCAGCGCTGCTCTGGAGCTCACCGAGGAGGGCAGCAGGTGACCCATCACGGCTCCCGCAGGCCTTGCCCCCTCACTTCTGCAGCAGACAGGAGACTCAGCAAGGGGCAGGAAGGAACCTGCACTGTGGCCACTGGCCAGCTGCCCTGCTGCCCACTCACCATCCAGGATGTGGAACTGGTCAGCAGCCTTGCAGAAACCTGGGGGCCCAGGCAGTGGTCAGGGAGGGCAGGATGTTGGCCAGGAGGGGGACCTGCTGGGGACACTCACCATACTTGGGGAAGTATAAGATCTGGTCTTCAGTCAGGTTGGCACTTTTGACCTGCTGCTCGAACACACTCAGGACAGAGTCACTCACAGGCAGCGATCGGGCTGTGGGATAGACAGGGCCACTGGTGCAGGAGGGTGTGGGGTGCTCCGGAAACAGAGTCTGGTGTCCAGGACTAGCTGTCTGTGCCCACTCCCACCCTAACCCCACACCAGGCCCATCTAGCAGCTCCTCCCTGGACACCAGCACAGAAGGTCAGGATGGGGAGGGAAAGGGGAGGGTCTGTGATGGCCCCTTGCATGTGCAGAGCCTGGGATCCCAAGTGGACACAGGCCATCACACACCGTATAGCTTCACAGACAGCTGCCTCGCCCGCTCCAGGTATAGGACGGCGAAGCCCTGGTAGTCAGTCGCAGCAACCACCATGTGCACAGGGGCCCGGGCTCCTTGAGCTGAGGCAGAGCCACGTCAGGTATCAGTCCCTACCCAGCTCTTCAGCCCTACCCCCTCACCTGCTGCCCTCACCTTGGAGCAGGAAGCGGCCAGGGACCTCTGTGTCTCTGTAGAGCTGTCGCACCTGCCAGCAGATCCCATCCCTGGGGGTGGGGGGAGTGGGAGGAGGCGCCAGGCACTGGGGACCCGACCCAGGTGGGACCGTGTGGGATATCAGTACAGGCGACTGCAGGGCTGGGGCCGGGGGCTAGGGCAAGGGTGGTGGACCATGCCAGGACTCACAGCTTGCGGGAGGTGTTGATGACCATGGCTGCACCCTGGGGAGTCACGTGCAATGTGGTGGCCTCAGCCTGGTGACCCTGCTCCTGTAGGAAGCGGCAGGCAGAGCCCACACCCACGAGGAGCCAGGTCCCTGAAAACTGGGGTTAGGCACCAGAGGGACTCCAGGACACTGAGGGGAGAGGGTGGTCTGGACCCACCCTTGTAAAGCTGGGCAAGCTCCTGCCCCCCATCTACCTCTATTACCTGCCCCCACCTCCCTCCTTCCTCCCCCTGTCCCCAGCTTCTCACCTGCTGAGCATTGAATCTGGCCTTGGGCTGGATGCTGCTGATGAGGGTTGGGGGCCGAGGGGGTCGAACCCTCTGGGCCAGTGAGTTGGCCACCAGCAGCAGGGTCAAGAGCAGTGGGGTCTCAAGGGGCAGCATGGTGATAGTGGCAGCGATGAGGAGGCCAAGGGCAGCAATGTCCCAGGTCAGAGTCCACTGTCCACCCCCACAGGAAGCCCAGCCCAGGAAGTCCATGGCTGTCCCCTACCTCCCCAACCCCCCAACCTGGGCAGTGGTCCTCCCAGCCTCCTCAGGAGCCTGGAATCAACAGGAGCCAGGCCCCATGTTCTGGATACAAGGCCCCGGTTGGCCTTAGACTCCTTGCCCAGCTATTTCTACAACCTTGACTTCCACCGGGTCAGTGCGCAGCACCTTGCACATCTATCACCTTTAAACTACCAAACTCCGGTTTCATCCTCACAGTCAAGAACTCTGGGCTCCTGGAGCTCAAGGCCAAGGCAGTAGGCCCAGGGCAGTCTCGAACCCGCAGACCTAGAGCCCCGCCCCCGGGTGTATCGCCGCCGCCGCTCCCCCAGGGGCGCTGTTCTGGAAGAGCACGGGAGCGCGCAGGCGCACAGACGCGCAGGCGCGCGAGAGGCCGACGCGGGCTGCCGGGCGGTCGGCCCTCCGCAGCCATCGATGCCTCGGGGCTCGGAGCGTCCGGCCTGGCGGCCTCTTCCGTAGAGACGCGGGGGCGGCGGCGACGGAAGCCGCTCCGCGCAACGCAGCGGGCTGAGGCGCCGCGGTGAGTCCCGCCTCGGCTCTGCCGCACTCGCCGGCGCCCCTGGCCTTGTCCACGCCTGGCTTGGTCTTGTCCCCCGGTACCAGCCTTGTCCCCAGCGGAGTACCCCGCCTGCGCCGGCCGGGCGAATGAATGTGCTGCCGGCTGCCTGTGCCCTGTCCCGCCCCGCGGCCCTGCCCGGACCCCGTCGCCTGCCCCTTCACACCCTGACCCCCTGCCCGCACGTCCGCCACCTGGCCAGGCCCTTAGGGCAGAGGCCAAGGGCCTGCCAGGCCCCTTCTGGGAAGGAAGTCTGTCTTGAGCTGACAGTCGTACACCTTGGGGCAGCAAGGTCAGCTCAGGGGGGTCACTGGCCCTTGACGGCTTATACTCGGACCGACCAGTACAGGCAGCCCAGACCTGCTTACCTGCCCTGGCACCCAGCTCTTTCCCTGGCCCCGGGTTGGGGGGGGGGCGGTCAAAGGGCCCCATCTGCAGGATGTGACCTGGGCCAAGGCCTTTTAGAGTAGACAGATCTGGGGTCCAGCGGCCCACCTGTGCTCCACCTCAGGCTGCCCCAGGCCCAGCCGTGCTGAGGTGGCTGTGCCTGCTCCAGTGCTCTAGCAAGCCCTAGGAGCTAGCTGCAGGGGTTGGGGAGAAATGGCTGTGCAGGCTTGTCATGGAGCTGCAGTGGTCAGTGCAGCAGGACCCTCCACAAACACCCAGTCCAGTGGAATTCCCAGCGTGGCACTTGGTGGGGCTGGAGGAACAGTGGGGCTGCCACAGCTTGAGCTCCAGGTCTGCACCTCTCCTAGGGGTTGGGGTAGAGGTTTGGGTTCAGGGCAGCCTCTGGTGGATTTCAGGGCTGCCTGGGCAGAATGTCACGATGGACGAGGGGGGCACGCCCCTGCTCCCTGACAGCCTCGTCTACCAGATCTTCCTGAGCCTGGGCCCTGCGGACGTGCTGGCCGCTGGGCTGGTGTGCCGACAGTGGCAGGCCGTGTCCCGGGATGAGTTCCTATGGAGGGAACAGTTCTACCGTTACTACCAGGTGGCCCGCGATGTACCCCGACACCCAGGTCAGTACCTGCACATGCCCCAAAGCCCATTCAGCAGCCATGTGGGAGGCAAGGGCTGTCCCCTGCCATGTTCTGAGCCATGCTGGGGAGCTCCTGCTGTCTACCTGCTGGGGCCATGGACCATTCAGGCAGGAAGGGCTTCAGAGCAGAAGATGCACTCCCAGCTGAGTCCTGATTCCAGACTGGCTGGCTCCAGAGGCACCAGGGCCCTCACTCCTGGTGGCCCCACTCTTCAGGGTGGCCTTGGCTGTGGGGAGGAAGGGTTAGGACCAACACTGACAGTGACGCTGTCCTGCCCACAGCGGCCACGTCCTGGTATGAGGAGTTCCGTCGGCTCTACGACATGGTACCCTGCGTGGAGGTGCAGACTCTGAAGGAGCACACTGACCAGGTCCTGCACCTCAGCTTTTCCCACTCTGGGTACCAGTTTGCCTCCTGCTCCAAGGACTGCACTGTGAAGGTGAGGATGCCCCACCCAAGCAGGTGGGTTGGGTGGGAAACGGCCAGTCTCTGCATCCAGCAGAGAGGGTCAGCTAGGAAGAAGCACTTGTGCTGGGACCTGGAGCCCCAGCCTAGACCACAGGACCCAGTGCTAGGACATCCCTGACTGCTGGAGAGGATGGGAAGGCAGGATTCCTAGGTCCCCTGGGGTAGGGGGGATGAGATGCTTGAAGGAGTCCCCGCCCCACAGCATCTTTAGGCAGCCTCAGTGGAGAAGGGTCCAGGACTTCCTATACAGCCACCAGCCCTGGCCAGTCACCCACTGGCTCCTCTCCCGTAGATCTGGAACAACGACCTGACCATCTCGCTGCTGCACAGCGCGGACATGCGGCCCTACAACTGGAGCTACACCCAGTTCTCCCAGTTCAACCAGGACGACTCCCTGCTGCTGGCCTCAGGCGTGTTCCTGGGGCCACACAACTCCTCCTCAGGCGAGATCGCAGTCATCAGCCTAGGTGAGCAGGAGCCCGGGTGGGTCTTCCACTGCCTGTAGTCGGCAGCCTGCTCAGCTCCGCCTCCCTGCAGACTCCTTCGCCCTGCTGTCCCGCGTGCGCAACAAGCCTTATGATGTGTTCGGCTGCTGGCTCACAGAAACGAGCCTCATCTCTGGGAACCTGCACCGCATTGGAGACATAACATCCTGCTCAGTGCTGTGGCTCAACAACGCCTTCCAGGTGCGGGTGGGGCCGGGCAGGTGGACCAGGCCTGAGGAAGCTGGAGCTCCCCAGGCCTGGCCCTGCACCTACGCACCTGTCCCTGCCCAGGACGTGGAGTCAGAGAACGTCAATGTGGTAAAGCGGCTCTTCAAGATCCAGAACCTCAATGCCAGCACCATTCGCACAGTGATGGTGGCCGACTGCAGCCGCTTTGACAACCCTGACCTCCTGCTGGACGCCAGCGACCAGGCCACACCCCTCTGCCAAGTCTTTGACCTGGGTGGTGACAGCGAAGATGAGGCTGCCAGCCCGCCTTTGCGCAACCCCCGACCGGGCCGCGCCAAGGAGGGCTTGCGGCGTGTGCTGGATGGTGTGCTGGATGGGGGCACGCAACTATCGGAGCGTGCGCTGGAAACCAGGGTGGCCGAGCTGCTGGCCCAGGGTCGCACCAAGCCCCCAGAGCGCAGTGCCGCTGATGCCAGGAACAAATACCTCATTTTCACCACCGGCTGCCTCACCTACTCGCCACACCAGATCGGTAACAGCAGCATAGGGCCTGCAACACCCCAGGTCCTGCCTGGGCCTGCCTGGGCCTTCCTCGGTGCAGAGCCCTTAGGGCAGGACAGCCCATAGGTCACTTTTGCTCCTGAGGGAATGGGTCTGAGATGTGGAAGTGCAGGTAGTGCTGGTCAACCAGTGACTGGGTGCGTCTGACTCAGACCTGGGCCCCAGTATAGGCACAGCCCATGGTCCCCTCGGGTGCTATCGGGTGGGGGTGTCCTGGAGGTGACCTCCCTGCAGCTCTAGTCAGGGCCCTGGCCCGGCCTCTCCACAGGCATCAAGCAGATCCTGCCACACCAGATGACGACTGCCGGGCCTGTGCTGGGCGAGGGCCGGGGCTCTGATGCCTTTTTTGATGCACTGGACCATGTCATTGATGTGCATGGGCACATCATTGGCATGGGCCTATCCCCTGACAACAGGTGGGCCTCTGACACATCCTGGGTGGGGGTGCCTGCAGGTGACCCATACCTAGCAGCCCACCTGTACCTAGCGCATGCCCCTCGCTCAGGTACCTGTACGTGAACAGCCGCGCCTGGCCCCCAGGCTCTGTGGTGGCTGACCCCATGCAGCCACCACCCATTGCAGAGGAGATCGACCTACTGGTGTTTGACCTCAAGACCATGCGGGAGGTGAAGCGGGCCCTGCGAGCTCACCGCGCCTACACACCCAATGATGAGTGCTTCTTCATCTTCCTGGATGTCAGCAAGGACTTCGTGGCCAGGTGTGCTTGGGTGGGCCTCAGGGCTCAGGGTGGGACACAGCAGGAGGGTGGCAGGCTCATCCCAGGCATTGTCCTACAGTGGGGCTGAGGATCGGCATGGCTACATCTGGGACCGCCACTACAACATCTGCCTGGCCAAGCTGCGGCACGAGGACGTGGTCAACTCGGTGGCCTTCAGCCCCCAGGAGCAGGAGCTTTTGCTGACAGCCAGTGATGATGCCACCATCAAAGCCTGGCGCTCACCACGCACAGTGCGTGTCCTCCAGGCCTCACGCCCACGCCTGCGCCCCTTCTTCTCCTGGTTTGCCAGCCACAGGCGCTGAGGACTCCAGTGTTGGGACCCACAGGGACAAAGCCTGTGGCTATTCCCTGAGTGGGGCGGAGAAGTTCACAGCAGCCATGCCTTAGAAAGGGGACAGCCCAGCCCCACACGCTCGCTCACGCAACCTGCTCACGGCCATCAGGCTCAGCACTAGGGTGGCCGCTGTGGGCGGTACCATAGACCCCATATCAGCCTCTTGGCCAGCTTGGGTGCACAGGATACTAGACGCCCTGCTCCTTGCCCACCCCTATCCCTGGGCTGGAAGTTCACGCAGTCCTGAGCTGGCCTTGGCCTGAGCCCTTGGGACAGCCAGGGCAATCTGCACCTGGAGGCTGTGGGTGACTGCCCAATGGTGGCAGAGGGCACCTGGTTTGTGCACTGAGGCGCTTGGGAGGGGCCAGTCTGCTGGGCCTATTGTGCTGCACGTGCACACCACCTCTTCAGGGTCTTGAATAAAGAGCTGGCCACAGCACGTGGTTGTCCAGTCTCTATCCACAGGGAGGGGGCCCCGGGCACTGCTGGCCCCGCTGCCTGGTGGTGACTACCTTAGGATTCCTCCCAACAAGTGACGGGAGGCTGAAGCAGAAGTGCTGATGCAGGCATAGGTCCCTCAGACCTTTGAGGTGCCTGTGTCCTCTGCTGCGCCCTGTGCTTATGGCCCGGGGGGGACTGTCGGACACAGCCCAGGCCAGTGCTGAGCAGTGTCCCCAGGGAGTTCCTTGACTGGTGGGGAAGCACGCAGCTGCCTGGAGCTCTGGGGCTGAGGGAAGGGGCAAGGTTCAGAAGGGTCAGCCTCTACTGTGACCCCCCAAGAAGCAGCTATGCTGGGAACTTGTGTTGAGCTGCCCTCAGTCCCACCAAGGAGCAGAGAAAGGCAATGTGCAGGGAGAAGTGCCTAGTGAGGCAGTGTCCCTGCAGGCCAGGCAGCAACCAGCAGAGGCCGCCTTGGTCTTGCTGGACTCAGCCCACTGGCCACAAGGAGGGGCAAGGTTGGACTCCACATGCAGGTGGGACTTGCAGGGCGTGCAAAGAAAGCAGGCAGAAATGTAGTGAGTGTCCCTCAGCATACTCAAGGGATGGTGCCACAGGGCTGAACCACAAGACGTGCTAAGCAAGGAAAGATGGGAATGACACAGCAGCCACAGTGGGGCTCAGTGTGGCCTGCACTCCTGGCTCAGGCCAACCTCTGTCCCTAGCACTGCAAAAGCACAGGCTGGGGTTGTGGCTAAGTGGTAGAGTGCTTGCATAGCACGGTGAGGCATTGGGTTCGATCCTCAGCACCACATAAAAATAAATAAATAAAATAAACGCATCGTGTCCAACTTAAAAAAAAAAAAAAAAGCACAGTGCTACACACCAGGCACCTAAAGAAGTTGGGGGGCCAGCACCCGCAGGAAGCTGCTTGTCATAGAGTAGCCCAAGTTCAACTAGTGCACGTATGCTCCTGAAAAGCTGAAAACCATGAGCAACTCCTGAGGATGTAATAACTGTCTCATTCAAAGTGGAAAGGAGACAAGGAGACGAACAAGAGCATCCATTAAAAAAAACAAAGATGCACTGCAGAACAAAAGCAGAGAGGCAGAAAGAACGAAAAACACAGACAAATGGTGGGGAATAACAGGCAGATCCGAAAGTTCAATCCAGGACAAACGCTGGACTTCACCTGGTCAAAACCAGAGCAGCAGATGGAGGAAAATCACCGACTATCCCAGGGAAGGGGAGAAGACCAGGCAGCAGCGCCCACACCCCGACTGCAGAGCCACAGGGGCTCAGTGTTCAAAGGGAAACACGGCTGGACTAGGGAAAGAAACCTCAGAAAATCTCTGCTGAGCTTTGAACAGGAAAAGCAACCACACCTGAGCTTCATCCTGGTGAAAGTGTGGCCCAGCAAGGACACACAGCACACCCTAGAACTCGGCTACGGTGGCACGGGGATGCGAGGCCCCATGCCCTGAGCAGAACAGACCGGCAGGGCTGGAGGGGCCTCACAGCTGGCACTCATGCTGTCCAACCTGCCCCTTGGTACCCATGGCCTGACTCGGTGTGTCCAGGATCTTGAGAGGCGGCAGTCCAGGAGAGGTCTCTGATGTGAGCACAGGGATGCCCTGGATTTTTTCTCCTGTCCTTTCATGCCCAGGCCCCACTGTGGCAGGAGTGGTGGCTTTAGAAACCCGTGAGAGTGGAACTGAGTCCTTGGAGCTGTCTGCCCTGTCAGTGCAGCTGAGGTTCAAGAGGGAGGGGACCCAATTACTTCCTTCCCTTTACTTCTTGCCTCATGAACCCCACCATGGCCCAATAGAGGAAGGGTGTGACGAAGCAGGATGACTAGAGCCCCTCATGTCTGGCTGAAGGACAGGGGGAGTCTATAGAGTGGAGGCTCGGGAAGTGGTCCCATAAAATGGTTTCTGAACACAAGGCTCGGCCCCTACTGCAGAGTGATTGTCACAATCAGGTCCGACAGCCCGCTGGCAGCTTCAAGCCCAGAGAGGACCTCGAGAGCAGAGGCCTGCTAGATGACAGCATTTACACAAGGTGGGACAAGTCTAGCTCTCAGGAAGCTTAGAACATCTTGAAGACAATCCAGAATTGCCCAACACACGAAGAACAGTGAAAATGTCCCCTGGCAAGGAAAGTCTGCACAGCAGCTGAGATGAGAAGACAGATGTGAGATAGTCCACAAGTGTGAGCAGCAACCACAGCACCACGATGGATGCAGAGACATAGCATGAGCAAGACAACAGAGAAGCAAAAGTTCTACACAGAAATGGTGGACTCTACAAAAAAAGCAATCAAAACTCAAACGACCAGACTCTTTTGAGTCGTCCAGATGCAGCACAGCATGTAGGTGCACCTGTCCGCATCGACTAGCATCACCCAGCTGAAACAAGGCGGAACCAAACCACAGCCGGGGACCTGGGGGGACAATAACCAGAGCAGGAGTGCTGTGCAAAAATACTGGCTGCTAGCTTCCCAGGCACAGTGAGAGTGTGAAGCTACTTTCGAGAACCGAGTGAACCTACAACAGAATAAACCCAAAGAAATCCACTCGGGGATCCCCATTAACAAACTGCTGAAGGCTAACTCTGAAGGCAAGCCCACCAGCAGTGGCCTCCAGGCAGTGCGCTGAACAACGGTGGGTCTCTCCTCAGGACCACGGAGGTCACAGGAAGAGCACAACCTTAACATGCTGGGCAGGGTGGGGGTCTGACAGCCTGAACTCTATCTTGAAAGTGTCCTTCACAAATAAAGGTGAAATAAATCCATCAATAGAAGGAAACACAAGAGTCTGCTGCCAGCAGGCCCAAGGGGCCTGACACAAAGGGCGAGCGGGCAGGCACTGAGCCCTGCACAGGCGCTAAGAAAGATGCTGGCAGCCGGGAAAAGGCAGCACTACTGGGAACACGGTGGAAGGACCCCACATCCTGATTAAAGCAGCCTGTAAAAGCACAGTATGCATTTTGATCCTTAGGACAACACGACAAGCATTATGCAGAAGAGCAAAACTAAAATGGAATACCAAAAATGCTCAGAAAACTACAGCATTGCAAACAGGAAAAAGCAAACAGAGGAACAGACCAGAGAACCATCAGAAAACAAATGTGAAATGGTAAACTGAAATCTAACCATATCAATAATCACAACATCGGGGCTGGGGCTGCAGCTCAGTGGCAGAGCACTTGCCTAGCACGTGAGGCACTGGGTTCCATCCTCAGCACCATATAAACCAGGACCCAACTACAGGAAGGCCTCATGCAAGTAATGACAAGGAGGTCCCAAGGAAGGATGGATGTGTCCCCACAGAAATGCCCATGAAAGGATACAGGACTGGCCATGAGTGAGGGGCATAGCACACCTGGCAAGAGTCCTCCAGGGATGAAGAGGGACTGAGGATGATGACAGGGGAAGTGTACCAGGGGGACCCCTGAATAAAGTCTCAAACACAAGAGCAGAAAGCAGTGGACTGGGAGAAGTGCAGACCCACAATCTCAGGACAGGCAAGGACGGGTCGTTCCCTAGGACGGCCACTGCAAGGCACCGCAGACCAGGTGGCTTACCATAGTGCAGATTTGTGGTTTTGAGGTTCTGGAGAGCAGCTGTGGACATCAAGGATGGTGGGGAGTCTGCCCAGTCTCTCCCCAGCTGCTGGTGGCTTACGGCTGTCTCTGGCACTCCTTGGCTCCAGGGTGCCACTCTCCTGTCTTCTGTCTTCACACGGCCGTCTTGTCCCTGTGACCATCCATCACCTTCCCTTTATGTCTGTGTCTAAATCCCCTGTCTATAGGGACATCTGTCATGCTGTGTTAGGGCCCACTCTAATGATCTCCTTTTAACTTGATTACCTTTATAAGAACCCTACTTCCAAGGTCCTGGGGGCTAGGGCTCCAACATACCCATTTGGGTGGGTACATAATTCAACTCCTCCCAACCACCTAACTGGTAAGCACAGAACATTCCAGTCCACACCAGAAGAGTTGCACCTGGACCACCTCCCCTACGGACCAGAGCCCAGGCTGGGGCAAGTCTCTGCATGTCCCCTACGTTATTCAAGACAAGTGCCACACTATATTTTTTTCCTCCAGTACTGGGAATCAAACCCAGGGGGCACTCTTCATCAAGCTACATTTCCAGCCTTTTTTCCCCCTTTCTTTGCAACAGTCTCATTAAGTTGCTGAGGGACCCTCCTGCCTCAGCCTCCCAAGTGGCTGGGATCGCAGGTGTGGCCACTGTGCTGCACAACCCTGCATCTTGGTCTGTTCAGCTGCCTAACACACACCATGAACTGGGCTCACAGACAACAGGAATTCACTTCTCACAGATCCTCAAGTCCAGGGTCAAGGTGCTGCTGACGCAGTGTCTGATGAGAGCTGCCTGCTGGTTCATAAAAGGCTCAGGTGGGGCAAGCATGCTGTCTAGAGCCAAGGCCCTGGGGCTCCACCCTCGTGACCTGTTCACCTCCAACTCCCATCACACTGGGGATGTGTTTTAACATAATGAATTTTGGGTGGGAGGCAAATAATCAGTCTTAGTTCATTTCTGCTCGATAAAAGATTACAGGAGATCGAGTAATCCACAATGGACAGAAGTTTATTAAGACACAGTTGTGAAGGCTAGGAGTCCCAGAGCAAGGGGCTTGCCCACGGGAGGGCTTCCTGCTGGGTACCACTGGTGGAAGGTGAGAGAAGGCAAGAGGGGAGCCCACTCTTCCACAGTAGCACCAGCCTGCCCAAGAGGTGAGGCCTTCTTGCCCAGTATCTCTAAGAGCCCCACCCCTTATTACTGTCACCAAGGCAGTTAAGTTTCCACGAATTTTGGCAGGACAGACATTAAAACCATAGCATTCTGCCCCTGGTCCCCCAGACTCATGTCCTTCTCACCTATAAAACATAACATTCACCCCAACCCTAAATCCTAACTCTTTCCAGCACCAACTCAAAAGGGGCAAGAAGGCAGAACCCTGTGAGTCAGACAAGC